CCAATCGGAACTATCTATGCATACACCTAGACACACTTATGCATATGTAAATGTATGCGTGTGTGTGTGTGTGTGTGTGTGTATGTATGTTAGTAGAACTCGAGAATGTAAATGCAAAATTGACTTGTATCAAGCGCAACAATTGCAAACAGTTAATTACAATTCATGTTGGTTTAGAAGAGAGAAACCTCCCCCCCCCCCTCCCCTCCTAACCGACAACCCCCTCAAAAAATCGACTCAACTTTTGAATATCAATCAAGTTGGACGAAGAAAACTTGAAAGTGTCAGAAAGCAATCGCAAGATTTGAAATCAAATGTGAAACGTTATCAATTTGCCTAACAAATTGTTTAGCCTTTCAATGTCGCCTGACAAAGGAAGGCAGATTAAATCAAAATCTATATATATACACAAGTACGTTCTATATATTCCCTGTATTGATATTCATTTGCGAAATGCGATTAATTTGCCGTTTTTTGGACTTCGTTTCATATGAAACGCAGCTGATAAACGAAACTTGGGCACTTGGGCATCAATAATCAGGTTTTTTAGTGTTCAATCATTCAACGGAATTTGTCATAGTGACCCATTAAATTACTTATAGAATAAAAAAAACAATATATATATATATTCCCAATGCCAGATAACGTAATTAACGTGTAACATGAGCTGATCAGATGGAAATCTTTACAAAAGCAGCTTGTCAACAGCTTTACAGTTGAGCATGTATATAAGCGGTACAGTGAACGGAAGGAAGAATTTACAGAAATTAGAAAACATATATTTGAGCATTTTTCAATTTTATACTATCTGAATATAATATATGCCCTAAATCTAAGTTTATTCATTTAAAAATGAATTTGGTTTTTACCATTTTCAATTTTCAAATCCCTTTTCCAATTGTAACTTTCCAAACCCCAAAATTGAACAGTTATTATATATTAAAATTATTTTAATATATAAAAATCTATTCTGTAACTATAAAGTTTCCTTTTGCGAGTGTCTACTGTATTTCTTGAATACTTGAATATTGAATCAAATGAATCACTTTCCTAATTAACTGTGGACAATATTCATTTGCTAAACATTTCCAGCACATTTTCCAGTCCAGTTCAGCAGTCAATTGGACTAGTTTCAGGGGTCTTGCGCCCTTGCAGTCAATCTTTCAATTAATTATGTGTATCCAATTGGAACTGTACTCCACTTGAGCAATTATCAATTAAAAATTGTTATCACCCCTTTGGGTTTTTTACAAGAGCAGCCGCTTTAAAATGCAACTTAAATTTATTCAACACAAGCGAATTTGCAGTTTGATTGATTGGAAAGGCTAAATAAATGAGGTTGTGATTGATTGAGTGGAACTGGAAGTCGAATTGGAAGTGGAATTGGAATTGAAATTCTGTGCGGGATTACGTGTGGCCAACTTTCAATTGTGAATGTAAAACTTGTGTATGGCAAATGAACAAGAAGAAGAAGAAGAAGGAAAAAACAAACAAAACAAAGTACAGCGCACAAATTGCGCAAAACGCTAAAGAATGCCACGCCAACAACAACTGCAGCAGCAGCAACGAGTGCAAGGAGAGCGGAAAGAGCAACAGCAGCAGTGAGTGCAAGGAGTGCGGCAAGAACAAAGACAGCACGCGGCCAGCTGCAGCAGTAAAAAGAATGAAAACAAAAGCGCAGCAAAAGCATCAAATGGACCAACTTGGCTTTGCCAATTGGAATTTTTATGCATTTCATATGCAGTTTGACAGGCGCTGAATGAGTGCAACTGCAAACTTCAACTCGCCCGCCCGCTCTCGCTCTCACTCCTTTTGATTGGCCGTGTGCATGTGTGTGTGTGTGTGTGTGTGTGTGTCTGGCCTTTAGCTGCCCCTGTTAAGCGTAATTTAATTTAGCGCAATTGTCTAGCACTGCAATTGTCTATGTAATCACAGCTAGCGGCGCCGCAGTGCTTTCCAAACTGCTGTTAATGTTAACGGTAGTGCATTAACATGTGTGCACATGTGTGTGTGTACACGTGCATATAACATATTTGTATGTATGCAACAGTGATAGCTTTTTGAAATGCAAGAAAAGAGCTAAACTAATATCAAATATATGAAAATTTAATTTTTTAATAAGAGAAAAAGTCAATCGGAATTTGATATTAAGAAAAATTGCTGTCTTTTAAATTTAAATGTAATTTTCGCTTCTTGTTTTAATCAAAATACTTCGATTAAAAAGTCAGAATGTTTTTTGAAAGGCAAAAAACAGCTAGTTTTGACTGCAAAGCAGCGCAATTGGCAGCACTGGCTTGTAAATGGCCAACTGGCCCAGGCAAATGGCACGCGGAATGCGGTTTAAAAATAAACCAAGCCCCAAAGCCAGCCAGCCAGCCAGCCAGCCACAAGCCATAGACCAAAACGTGCTTTGGCCAGAGACCCTATTTAGCCTAGTTTACAGTTTACAGCTCGCCGTTGCCGACGTCGAGCCAGGCTAAATGACCAGCTCGCTAGTTGCTGCTGCTGCTGCGCACCTGTAAACGGGCTGCACGCGCGCGCTCTCGTTCTCTCTCATTCCCTCTCTCTCTCTCTCGCTCTGGCTCGCTTACTTATGCTAATAAGAAAAGTGTGACAGCCGCTCGCAATTTTATGACTGCGTCGCACGCAATGTGCGCCCTTCCAATCAAAACTGTACAGTTTGACAGGCCCAACTCGATTCGAATTGGCGTGTGGTTATGCAACAAGTTTTGAATGGTTTGTTTCGGTTTTCTTTGTTATTGTAGTTTTTTGTGGTGTTTTATTGGTGCGCCATAAAGTGCGGCTCAGGTGCGTTGACTGCATAAAAATGTTATTATGTCTTATATTATTGGCGCTATTATTGTTGTTTATTTGAGCTCGGCTTTTGTGCTGCTTAACAGTTACATAAAATCGATGTTAATGTTTATCATTTACCTTTAACAGCCTCGTAGTATCCTAAATCCAGCGTGAATGATTTATGTTAATATCCTGTATACAAAATATGTTACTTTGCTTTTTGTTTTGTTTACGGCTTCCGCTCTCTTCAGCTCCCTTTCTCTCTTTCTCTCTTTTGCTCTCGCACACACAAAAGACGGCGTGATCTTTCTCTCTCTCTCTCTCTTTGCGCTGCTTCCTTTCTTTCGCGTCCTGCAGCGTCGCAGCTTGTTGTTGACTTCTTGTTGTTGTTGTTGCTTGTGTGGCGCTGCGTTTTGAATTAAATTTTGATTTATTTATATTTTAATATTCACTCCCAACTCTCTCTCTCTCTCTCTCTCTCTCTCGCTCCTCTCGCCTTTTTCTTCTCGCGTAAGCCACGAAGATCGATAAACACACGTAACAAAATAAGAAGCAGAACGAGACGCTGCGAGTTGGAGCTGAGAAAACCGGAAAGTTGTTGTTGTTGTTGTTGCTTTGCTTTGCTTTGCGCGGCGTTCTTTGGCTGCTGCGTTTTTTTTTCTTTTTTGTTGTAAGCCCAAAAAAAAAAAAAGAATCTCAGATTGAAGAGATTTATTTACGTGTAAAAATGCCACAAGTAGCAGCAGTTATTTTTTTCTTTAGCAACTTCTTCTATTTATTTGTGTTGTTTTTTTGGCGTTAATTTATGCTTAGAATTTTTGTGGCTTGTCACTTGTTGCTTTTGACCTTAATGCGCTCGTGTTTTAACAAATTCCAATGCACACACACACACACAGACACGCACATTTACACTGATCGCACAACACACACACACACACACACAACGATGCGCAAAAAAACCAGCTTTGCCGCTTTTTTATTTTTTTTTCGTTTTTTGTTTTTGGGCCAACAATTAGATAGCCGCGTTCTGAAACGCCGGCGCAGCAGTCGACGCCGCAGCTCTTTCTAATTAGCACAAAACAACAGCAACAAGAACAACGGGGCAGCGGGCTAAACAGTTAGACGGCTTTAACAATTGCTTTTCTTAATTTCAATGGCGTTTTGCACAGGGTTTTACGTTTTATTTGTTATTTATTTATGTACATATTTATTGTTGGCACTTTTGGTACGTTGCTTTTACGGTTAAATTTTCGTTTGCGTTCCGCGCTCGTTTCACGCACGTCTTGTCAACTCTCGATCTCGCATTACAATGTTGTGCTCGATGTTCAAAAATGGCATCGAAGCATCGAGGTATCGATTTTTTGGTTATATCGATTCTTGCCGACCGCTACTCGATTTATTTATACCGTGCTAATCGATCGCTACTGGCGCGAAATTTAAGAGCTACTCCACATCGCTAACGAAAAATATAAAATTGTTATTAAGTGGCCAGTTTTTAAAAAAGTAAATATTTCCTACGACGATATTTAAGTAAAGGGAAAATAACTTCTAAACAGTTTCTGTTTTTCAATGAAAGAAACGAAAATTGTAATTGTTTAACACCAAACAATCCGCCAAACATGTAAATCTCTTGTGTCTATGCTTCATATGTTAAATTAAAATAGAATAACCCGGGCGATTAATTAGTTACATATTGTAACGTAAGCGCAAAATGAGCACTAACGCAGTATTGCATGCGGCCAGCTTCACGCAACGCAAGCTGAGTCACATAAAGTTGGCTGTAGCAGCTTATTGGTATTCTATTGTATTATTTAGTATTTTTCTGCTACTTCAGTATAACAGTGTGTTAGCAAAATGGTAATTTTGCAGATATCTTACACTTTCACACTTTAAGGGCCAACAGACTCCTTTGAGTATAACAGCTGCTTAAAATATCCATTTTGAGTTTAACAGAGATATTTCATTAACATTCCTGATATCAGCATATTTAATTAAATAGATAGACATTAATACACACTGATAGTAATATTTTTGAACGATTAAACGCTGCTAACATCGATAGTGTTATGTTGTATTATTGGTAAATAATATCGTATAGCCAGTTAACAGTATCGGTAACATTCGTATATCGATATAAACGCACATCGCGATATCGAGCATAACAGACTCATAACAGCTGGGATCTTAACATTTCTGTTGTTGTTGCGTCGGAGTTCGGACGTGCCTGTCCGTGTCGCTCGCGAAAAGATTTATTTAATACTTTCCATCAACTTGCACAAACCGGAACTTGCTGAAAATTAGGCAAGTCAGTTGTAAATTGTGCTCGTTATGCAAAAACAATAAGCATTAACTGCTGTGCGCGTAAAGTATGTAAAGAATATCGCAGTTTTGTGTCCAGCGTAGCCCAACGAAAAGCAAAGAGAAAAAGCGAGTGGCAGATTTTTTTCCTGTCTACCTACACAAACATACGTATACATATACTTCAGTATATGAATGCGTGTATGTGTATATCGAAGAGCGCAGTGCCTGTGTGTTTGTGTGCTCCGTGTGAATAATCGCTGAAGAATAAGAATATTAAATTTCTCGCTCCGTATAAATATTAATTTCACTAGTGTTTGCGTTCAATATAATAAATTAAATAAAATAAAATCAGTGCAAGTGCGTGCCGCGCCCGTTTACCAAAAGTTACACACATACGCTAACCGCTCACACACATACACATACATACGCGCTCACTGACAAAAGAGAAAAGTTGTATGGCCAGCAACAAATACAATTTGTTAGCCAAATAGCTTTTTTTCCGTAATTGTAGAACTTAATCTCTACTTCTTTTTGTCCATTAATTTTAGAGCAACGCTAAAATAATTTAAATTCTATGCTTAGTCAACTTAATAATAAAAAAAAACAATAAAAAAGCAGCATACAAATTATTGAAATAAAAAAAACAACAGAAAAGTGTCGGCTCAGTGTGCGTATATGTGTGCGTGCGTGTTTTGGTGTGCATAGCCTGCATAGCAGTGTGTGTGTGTGTTTGTGTCAAGTAGCATCAGCAGTCGCCGCCGCCGCCGCAGCAGGCAGAATAACAAAAAATAGCAAATCAAAATGGCGCACCAGCAGCAACAGCAACAACAACTGGCACAATCGGTGAATTGTTCATTGGATGATATCGATTTGACGGCACTAAAGGTAAGTTGTTAGCCACAGCAGCAGCAGCCGCCGCGGCAGAGCTCCATGCACAACAGTTTAATTGTGCCGTTGGAGCCTCGCATTTGCTGCAAGGTGTGGCCATGTGTGCATGATTTTTGTTATTTTTTTAAGCAATTTCCGTATTGTGACTTCATCAACCCGTCCCCAACCCCCTGTCTCTCTCCCACACGCTTCAAATTCACTTTCAATTAAGCGCAGCCTGTCGAATAATGCAGCAGACGTCGCTGCCGCTGCTGCTAACTGGAGTTGCCCATATATCGATTGTGTAATCCAATAAGAATTTCGTGCTTGTTCAATACCTGCACATGTTTATTATTAATTGATACAATCGAAATGGAAAACCTAACTGTTTGTTTAACACAGGTTTATAAACATTGCAAAACCAACGCACAGAATGTTGTTGCAATATTGTAGGCTATGGCAACGCCCACTCCACGCTGCATTAAGCAAATCATAATAACTGCACATTGTCATTTGTTGTATTTTTCTTGGCCAATTGTGTGGGGTACTTGCTGTGCGCTCTCTTTGTGTTTGCCACCCACCCCACCCCACCACGGCCACAACTCACCACCGGCAGCAGTGACCGGCCGGTGTCAGCGGCTTTGCCAAGTCTTGTTTATCGCTGCTGTTGCTGCTTGTCTTTTATATTTTTCATTTCTCAATGAAAATGATGCCCCACACGCACAAACCGCACGCGTTGCTTATGCCATTTGCCTTTGCCTTTCTCTTTCAGCAAACATTCACCACAGCTTTAAAAACTCACCACAGCCGCCCCACGTTGGGCGGCACACATTGCGTCGACGTCGACAGCGACGTCGCAGCAGGCGCAGGCAATGCGGCAGCAGCACCCACAGAAAGTAAAGTTTTGCCAGTGTTGAGGAGCAGCGCCGCCTGTCTCTTTGTGACTGTGTGAGCGTGAGTGTGTGTGTGTGTATGTGTGTGTATGTATGTGTGTGTATGTGAGTGTCCGTTTGTTGACTCGGTCTTGCAGTTGTTTGGTGGGCGGTGCGGTGGGGTTGCATGTAGGATAAGGTGGATTGAGACGGCGGCTGTCTCTCTCGGCTGCATGTGTATTGGTATGTGCATGTGTGCATGTGCTCTTCATAGTCGAAGAAGACGAGACAAAAACGAGACAAGAATGAAAATTGTTTAGTTTACTTTATTAAAAGAAGCAGCACCAGCAACAGCAGCAGCTTGCTCATGCGTGTGTAAATACATGCATGCACTTGTGTTAGTGTGTGTGCAGACGACATCAAGTTGATGATGAAGCACTGAAGAGGCAAAAAAAAATGGCAGGCGTGTGATGGCCCCATGAGCTGTTGTTGTTGTTGTTGTTGTTGATGTTGCTGCTGTTGCTGTTGGCCTTCTCGCAGCAGGCGCGTGGGCGCCGCGTCTGCGTTGGCTTTTTAAAGGTCATTAAACAATGAAATACGTGCCCCGAAATAGTATACAGCTCGTTGTCTCTATTGTCGTTGTTGTTATGGTTGTTGTTGCTGTTTTTGTTGTTGTCGCAGCAGCCAGCTGCGCTCCTTGACAAAAGGTCACAGTCCTTAAAGCTGCCATCGCAACGAGGCGAATGGCATTTGGCTGCTGCTGCTGCTGCTTCTTCTTCTTCTAATGCCCTCATTCCCTCTGCAACTGTAAAACTGATAAGATACTTTAACAAAAACAATTTGGAGCACACAAAATGCATTCATCAGCGTCGATTCATTAATTACTTTATGATTCTTAGCTGTGGATATGCGATTGTATGCATGTACAGTAGTCACTCGATAACGAGAACTGCCCTGAAATTGAAACTAGCTAGAATTTGAGTTTAAAATATTAAGTTCTTATATTATTTTCAGTGTATTTATTTGCTTTTGTTTTTAGACTTTCAAGAACTTTAAATTTTTTGCAAATTGAAAACGCGTTAATTTTGCGACCGACCACTGTACATACATACTCATACATATAAGTACCAGTGTACATATACGCATACATATTAGTATATGTATGCATATGTGTTCTTTCCCTTTCTATCTCTCTCGAAGTTCTTTACTTGCTGTTGTGGTTCTTGTGCAGTTTGATAAGCGCTGCAGTCGCTGCCGCTGCCGCTGCTGACGTCACGCTCTTTCGCTGATTGCCTTCGTTTGTGCATGGCCATGTGTCGGCGCTTCTTACACACACACACACACACACACACATGCACTCGCACTGTCTTTGTCTTTGTTTTTCTTTTGTGCGTAGCTGTGTGCGTGTGTGCTGTGTGCTTGTGTATTTATTTTAATCAACGTTTATTGCATTTGGCTTTGTGCGATAAAAACGTGTTCGCCCACATTTGGTGTGTGTGTTGTTTTTGGAGTGCTGCAATTTGTGCAGTTGCTTTTGATTGTTTTTGTCCGCATTGTTGTTGTTGTTGTGGCAGCTCTTGTAAAGCAACAACAAATCACACATGTTTGGGTTTGGTCCGTTTGTGGGTTAAATCAACATTGGCTGGGTAAATACACTGGGCAAAAACGGAATTACTAAAAATTTCGGCACATATGTGTGCATAGATAGAGATGTGCGTGCATATGTCTGCATTTTAACATATAAATATTGTTATGTAAATATTAAACAAAGTTCAAAGGTTGGCAAATGTGAAGTGTAGAGAGAAGAAGACACACATTCTAAATATTTGTTCAAAAACAAAAGGTACCCATATTTTAATTAAATCTTATAGAGACTGCAAAATAAAGATATTTGCCGGAAGATGCGAGATGCCCTAGGCATTTTTCCTTATTTATATTTTAAAAAATCTCATCTAATAATAATATAAAATTACTTTTTAAAGTGTGGGAACGTTAGGTTTATAATCAACTCCTGTTCATTAATGTTAACTGGTTTTTTTCCTTTCCGTCTAATACACATTTTTAGCTGCAAGCTCTTGCTAATATGTTTTGCATTCCAAATCGAATTGGTCACAGCCCACACATACTCACACGTTCACACATACATAAATTGCCCATGCATGCCCATTTACATATGTAGTTTATCTTCTACAGCTGCCTTTCCCATGCCCCTCCCCTCCCCCACCCCTACCCCTTATCTCATGCATATGCAAAAAGCTGCTGTTGCTGCTTTTATTTATTTTTTTAGCATGGGCGTTCAATATGCAGCCAGTCCTGTTGGCGAGTCTCCTGGTTGCACACACACACACACGTCTGTATATCATATCATTGCTAACTGGGCCAAGCCTCGTATACGGCCAAAAAGAAATCCAGTTTTGCCTGCCCAGCAGCAGCAGCCGCTGCAACAGCCTCAGCGAGTTTTAGACGAGTCGCCAGCAAGTTGTTTAGTTTTAGTTTCAGTTTTAGTTGCACTCGTGCCCGTTTTTAACAAATACAACGAACGGCTACAAAGACAAACAAGAAACAACAGTTTATCTAAGGAATGTCGAAGATTAAATACCCTTGCAGCTGTGCAGCATGCATACATATTTCCATAGTTGACAGTTCTTACGGATAACTGTTTCTATGGTAGATATTTGATATATTGATCCCAAGGTGAATAACTTATTCAACAGAGTTTGGGGGAAATATCTCAAAGACAAAAAAGTTTTTCATTCAAAAAGCTCTCAGCTGCAATCTGCATTATATATGCCCACCCTTTGCTAGAGTATAGAATAGAATAGAGAGAGCGCAGCAGAGATCCCACTCGAGTTGGAGAGGAGAGAGAGAGAGAAAGAGAGCTGAAACGGACAGCAGTCAGCCACAACTGATAACTGTAACCGCAGCGCGCTCTGTTGCCAGAACTATACACTAATGCTCCGCACAAAATTCAACACTCCAAGCTCCCCTCCCCTTCCCTCTCCCCGCTGCACCAAGGCTTGCATTTCGTTTGCGTTTTGCTTTAGCACGTCAACGCTAATGAGTCATGATGCTGCTTGCGGACGAAGGAGTGGGGAGAGGAAGAGGGAGAGGGCGCAACACTTGGCTCAGTTTTTCGTGCATTTTTAATTGATTTTACAACGTGAAGTAATCAGCCATAAATAGCAGTAATTGCTGACTGGCTTCCAGTCTGCCGCATGCACCCCTGTCTGCCCGCCCGTCTCTTGCTCCCCCTCGCGCGTGTTTGACACACTTTGCACCAACAACATGAAGAAGAAGCAGAGGCAGAACAGGAATAAGAACAATGATAGCGTTTGGGCGCAATGGGAGGCGTTGACGTTTGCTCATTTGAAGGCAGCCATAAATCTACTTAAGGCATTTCCATAGTATTTTCTCTCCCTCGCTCTCTTTCGCTCTTTTTCTTTGGCTTTTTTACTTTTTATTTTGGCTTCGACTGACGCTTTGTCTTTTGCCCTTTATAATTCCTGTCGGCAGTTGCCTGCAAGTTGCCGCTACCGTTAGTCCAAAGAGCAGCTCAGCTCAGCTTTTAGGCGAGGGGAGGGGAGGAGAGAAGTTAATTTGTAGGGTTATTTGTAAAATGCTTTTAAAGAGAGTCGCCTGTGCGATGGCATTCCGTTATACTGGGTCAAAACAACGGGAATTCTAGCCATGAAAATGCTAGTCGAAAATGCCTATGGATTCCACTTACTAACATACTTACATATGTGTATTACAATCAAATGAACTATTGGTAATATCTATAATTTGACTATCCGAGAAACTGGATTTTTTATCGATTCACCCTTTAACGATATTCACTTCCACAGCCGGAAAATAAGTGAAATATCCAAATACTATATAAATGTTAATGTAATATTCGCATTTTCTTTAAATATATTCTATTTGATTGTAATCCAATAACTCTTCACCAATTTATTCACGTAACTTAAGTGCATTTACCTCAACTCGGATACAAATATGCTAAACTTGCATGTCTTCTCGATTAACTGATGTCTGCCCCCTTTCCACTGTTTGCCCTTTGCTCCCATTCGACCTGCCATAAACTAAATTTAGAGCACTGACAAAAAAAAAAAAAAGAAACAAGAAGAAGTCTGTTACCTGTTGAAATTGTTGTTATTACTGTTGTTCTTGTTGTTATTTTAATTGGCGTTTACCTTAGCTGTCACTAGGCCCTCAGGGGGCCGCCAGGGCACGCCCCTTTCTTTTTCTTTTTCCAGGTCGTGACACGCTGTTTAGTCTCGAGTCTCGAGTCTGGCGTCGTCTCGTGCCTGCTTCGTGTCTGGCTCGTGAGTTGCGTGTCAATGAACTCGCATGCGATTTGTTGTTGTATGGCTTGACATGAGCATGCATGCACAGGGGCGGAGTGTGCGGGTGTGGGAAGGGGGGTTGAGGGGGATGCATAGGGAAGGGTTTCTGTATTTGTATTAAATGCCGCTTTATTTTTAACGCTGCGCCGCATTCCTTATTTGTATTATTATGCCTTAATAATTTGTTTACACAAACAAACAAAAACAAAGCCAAAATAAAAACTCGCTTTTGTAGTTGTTGTTGTTGTTTGTCGAATGTCTCTGTGCCGTCGCAGCCACGCCCCGTTCTTAGCTCATCTCAACGCTTGGCTGGCAGCCTTTTTTCCACTGATTTTTTTCCGATTTGGTTTCTTTGTTTGTTTTTAGGTTTTGCCTTTCGCATCTGGCTAAGGATTTCGCTTTTTGGGCGTTTCCCCTTTCGTTATAATTTTAATTGTTGTTGTTGTTGTTGCGGGGTTTTATTGCATTTCGGTCTTTGACATTTTCAGGGTTTTCTCTTTTTTCTACCAAAAAATAAACCAATTTCTGACAACGCCTTTTTGTCTTTTTCAGGATCCGGCTGGCATCTTTGAGCTCATCGAGGTCGTTGGCAATGGTACCTACGGCCAGGTCTATAAGGTAAGTTTCAATCAATATTCATTTATGTTTGCCTAAGAGCCTTAAGGGTCAAAGGTCAAAGGCATTTATCTGCATTTAAAAGCTGTTGAGAACTTAAATGTCAGCTTAAACTTATTTATGTTCGAGATATCCTTAAAAAGCAGAAAGCTTTTGGATATTAAATCTGACTTTTCGACCGATTTAACCTATTGAACTATATGCTATAGTATAGCATATATGTATATAGAAAAATAGATATAATATATAACAAACTTTGTCAAGAAGTCATTTTTATACCAATCGTAACTACAACAACTATACGTCAGATTTGGTTTGGGACTTAATTTTATATTGATTATTTCGATAGAAACTATTTGTTTCTGATGTTGTTGAGATTATGCCTATATATTGGCAGTACAGTAAAGCTTGTAAATTGCATATTTGTTTAAGATTTCTTGAAGAGCAAACAAATTTTACACTCTAGAGCTCAGTTGTTCCTATGCGAGCTGTTTATATCGTTCCGATCTATGAGAACTATATAATATAGTGCTCTGATCCGGCAGATTCTTACAGAAATGCCAACTTTCATCGAATTAATTGCGAATGTTTGCAGTAAAGCAAACAGATAGCTTTATCGAAATATCAATTGATCAAGAATATATATATATATATATATTATAACTCTTGGGCTGAAAGGTATCTCCTTCTATGCGTGACACATATCTTTAAAGATTTTTGTAAATATCCTCCGCGTGCTTATAAAAAACCACTGTCTTTCACCAATTTTCCACCCTTCCGCGTGGAATTCAAGCTACAAATCAATTAAAACAACTTACAAACAATATGTTGATAGGCGTGAAATAATGAACACAACGATCAGGTTTTAGCACTTTGCTATACACTATACAACAAAGGCAGCCGAGTTTTTTTTTTCATTACTTGCAGCATTTGCCAGCTATAAAAGATATTTGCTGCTTTTGTGGTTAGTTTTTTTGTCTCGCTGAGCTGCTCACAAGATCTGAGATATTGAAAACAATTTGTCTGGCCATTTGAATGTTGAGTTTACTTTTTTTTTTTGTGGTCAAAATGTTGCAGCTTTCTATTGAAGAGCAATTTGGTTACGGCGCAATGAGCTCACAATTTACAAATCGCGTTTAGTTTAGCTCAGTTTTTATGTATATATATCTTTCAGTTGTGTGGCGACTGTTTCATGTTGTTGTCTTGTAATTAGCAATCATTAGACTTTATGCTTGAATGCGTCGCAGTTGCGGCTGCTAAGATGAGTTGCATATATACACAGAGGTGTCTGTGTGTGTGTGTGTGTTTGTGTATCTGTATCTTTAGCTGCTGCTGCTGTATCTCTGCCTCTGTATCTGTATCTGCACCAAAACAAGCTGCGTCATTTGCGCTCTGCTGTGCCTTAATTAGTTGCGAACCGCTAGACGCTAGGCCACCAAAACTTCAACTCTTCTCACACATTAACACATTTTCCTCTCGCTTTAGAATTTTTGCCGCAGGGCAAACAACAACCACAACAACAACAACAAGAAGAAGAATAACAACCAACATCATCATAATAATAATCACATCAAAGATTTAAACCAAATGCTTGCCTGAACAACAAAAAAAAAAGAAGAGATAAACAATGCCACGACTTTGTATTTAAATTACAAGTTTTCAAAATTGTATCTGCAAGATACAACACAATGCAGCGCGGCAGCTACAAAAATAGATACTCTGGGGATTACCGTTAGCATTTCTTCTGCTCCACTCTGTTGCTCGGTTCTTTGCTGTTGCGTGTGTGTGTGTGTGTGTTGTGGCATGCGCTGCGCTTGGGAGGCCAACGGCAAGTTCTTTCTCTTCACTTCTCTTGCTTTGCTCTACGCCTCCTCTCTATTTCCTTAATGCACCTTGATAGGCTGAGGGGGGGAGGTTATGACAGCTTTAAAACTGAAACTATTCAATAGTCGCGATAACTTTATCGAAATTGTTTGCGTACAGTGTTGCCAAGCAACAAAAAAAGGCTAGTTTTCTACGTACTCTACCGGCTAAATAGCTAGAATCGAAGTTCTTTTTGTACCTAGCTCTTAAATTTCTACACTTCATGGATTATAAAAAATATATATAAATTGTAAATCTGCAAGTTATATATGCATATGTATATGTATATGTATGCCCAAGTTCGCTGACCTGCTACCTTAATCTTAATTCTTCTCATGCTGATTCACTCTAGCATTCATATATATTGCCATCTCTGTCTATTGCCTACTCCATGGACTCGCATGCCTTACGAATTAATGTACTCGCACCTAATCTTTTCGATTGCTTATTTCACAATCTACAATAAAGTGTCAATAAAATGTCTAAATTTACATGCGTCACTCTCTGCTCACTACGAAACTGTTTAACGGCTTAGAAATGCGGCCAATTCGCAAAAAAAAAAAATTGTCGGCCCACGTCTACACGCCTCCTCCTTCATAACGCCGACGACCTCATTTGTTGTGTTACCACGCGAAGCTGCAAGTGGCACGTGGTAACAACAATTTGCGCCGCAACAACAATGCGATTACAATATATGTAAGTGCACGGTATAAGTCACACGTTGCCCACTGTGCGACAACTTGTTTCCGTGCTTCCACTGCGCTGCGGCATTAAGTAGTTCATTATACTGTCCAACACTGACTCCAGTCGAGTATGTGTGTGCGTGTGTGCTTGTGTAAAATTAGCATGAGTAATACGCGTAGATGATTTTTTCCATTCCTCCTTTCCTGCATGTCGCCAGCGGTAGAACGCACTATGAGAGTAACGGGCAAAGTGTTGCTGTCTCTTTCTCGCTGTCCACTTGTTGGTTACGGTTCGTTCATTTTGCGCTGTGTCATGTGTGTGTGTCTGTGTATGTGTGCGTGTGTGTCATTTCTTAGGCATTTACTGGATTTTTGGTTTTATTGACAGACAGTTAACCGGTTTTCAACGTTCTCTCTCTCTCTGAATGTCTCTCGCTGATGCAAACGCATTCGCATTTTAGTTGTAGCTTATCAGAAATTAGTCGCGTCATTTTGACGCTTATTCATAACTTGCTTAAACGCTGGCGGAGCGTGGGGAATTTCGGTCTAAAACAGCTTTTAATTTAATTCATTTTGGTGTGTGTTTCCTTTGAAATTGTGACGTCACTGTTGACATTTCTACGAATTCATTCGTTTCGCTTCGCTTAATGCGACTTTGATTTATGCAGCAGCCAGTTGTACTCCCCCCACCACACCCCTCCGCATTTCACTGATGTCTCTTTATTAGCAATATCAGCTAATTTCTCGTATGTTCTGTGCTTTGCACTTCCGGCTTTTTGATAACGTCTCGGTTTTTTCTTCTTTTCATTTCTACTGCGCTTTTTAATGGTTGTTTATCAAAGAGCGTCGCGTGAGTCACAAATTAGTTTTGTTTTCTTTGATGGAATTGAAAACAGAATTACGTGCAAACATACTTATGTATGTAGGTATGCGTGTGTGTATATATGTTTATATATGTGTATTTGTGTATATATGTATATGGATGCATTTGCGAATGCAGGAAGGCTGTGATTGGAAATTAGGAAAAGGAGATAAATGAAAAGGGCTATACATTAGGACGAAAACTAACGGACAGTTGCTTAGTGAGAGATCCACTTTAGCCGTCCATTTTATTTATACAAATGTATTTCTTAAACATTTTACGGCTATTTCGCAAAATGCAAAAACTCTCCAGTTTGTAAATTTATAATATTGAGCAGCTGAGCTTTCGATTTGCTTGGAATGCCGCTAAAATTTCACACGACTCGTTTGAAAGTAATAAATTTACTGCTTAATTTATGCCAAAAAAAAAAGTCGACTTAAATAAGCTGCCCACACGACAACAACAATAACAATAACAATAACAAAACTGCATAACTTGGCGAATTTCAACAATAACATTGTAAAAACAAAAAATCAACGCGCCGTTTCTCAAGGTCGTTGTGTCGCCTTCCCAACTACCGCCTCCACCCACCCCTTTTGCTGCTTTACGCTTACCGCGGCGCATTGACTTTCCCAACGTAGCGTCGCTTTTGCTAGCGCTAGCAAAAATTTAGCTGTTTAGTTTTTTTCTTTTTGCGAAAGCGTAAATACACAGCAGCACACAAACTCGTAAACCTAAATCGCATTTATTGTTGTGGCTTTTGCTATTTTCGGCTGTGGTCGGAGTTTCGGGCGCAGGTTGCCTTGTCAATGAAAAAAGTGTCAGGGCTAGAGATTTAATTAAGCGGACAGCAACAAAACAAACTTAACAAGCACACAGACACACACGCACAATGCAAGTACAAAAGCAGCGCATTTCTGTGTTTAACAACACTAAAGTTAGTGAACCTCTAAAAATACAATGCGAAATGAACACGGTCCCGTAGTGGGAGAGCGGCAAACGCCCAATGGAGAGAGTGCGAGCACGAGAGCGGCGCCGGTGAGGCGTCAAAGTTTCGGTAAATATATTTGCTATGTGTGAAAGAGAAAGGAACGCAGGGCGCAACGACAACTACAACTAAAGCGACGCCGCCGACTGAGCTGTTATCTTGCTTGCTCGCTCTCCCATCTCTCTCTCGTTCTCTCCGTCATGTGTGTTGGACTGTTTTATGCTCATGTGTCAATGACACTTTGTTAATGTTTTTAAATCTTGTCTACAACAAATAAATAATTTGCGTAATAATTAGTTTTTAGCTGTGCGCTTTGTTTAGCAGTTTTTAGTGTCATTTAGTTGTTTGTTTCTCTCTCTCTTATATTTTTTGGCTTTGTTTCCCGACAGCACATAAAAAAATAAATGATTTGTGTGTGTGCCGAGTACTTGAGCACTGCCTAATTGCAACTTTACTTTGCTTGATTTCAATTTAACATTTTACGAGGCTGCGTCTCATTCTGTTTTTGTTTCTTTTTTTTTTTTTTTAGTATTTCTTTTTGTGCTTGTGTTTCCTGCTTGATTTGTTTATTGCCTTTAATGTGTTTCGCATGTTTGTTTGAGTGGCG